AAGGAATCTTGAATGCATCAGAAATGATTAGAAAACATTTAATAAATATAGCAGGGTTTAAATAAAGTATGAGAAAGGGATGTATATTTTATTTTTTGTTATAGTCGTTTATTAATTCACGTAAAAATAAAAAAGACGATGACGCATTGCAAAGAAACGTAATCTAGTCTTGAAGAATTTGAAATTAGAATCTTACGAGGTGCGTGTTCTCACAGTATTCGAGTTGTCGCGAAAAAATTGCGGAATAGACGATGAATTCGCGAAGAATGTGGGTGATTTTAATAACGGGAAGCACCGAGATATCCTTGTTCTTATTAAGTTGATACGAACGGATGATGTGAGTTTCGTTTCGCTTGCATTTTTGGGGATTATTATTTTATTTATGTGTACATGCGCGGTTAAAAGATACACTTTGGTGTTACATTAGAACAATACAGCGTAAACAATACGAAAATACGAGACTCTACGAATGTAGCTTTAGAAATTCTCAGAGCAAACTCGCGGCTTAGATCTATCTCGTTATCACACGAGTCACGCACTCCAAGTAGAATACTCTATTTTGTAGAATGTAACACGGTCGGAGCACCGACCCTTCCTGCAAATATTTCCTCGTCGATGTGAGCTCGTGTACGCCTGATTAAATAAAGAAGACGGAATTTGCGGCGCGCATTATCGGAAAAAAAAAAAACTAAGTCTACGGCGCGTAATAGAATTTTTCCATCGCCTTGATAAGTGGAGATAAGTGGAGTTCTTACCTCCACTTGCTCAATTTACGCGCTTCCAATGCGCGAAATAAGTGCAAAATAAAGTAGCGCGCGGCTGTCTGTATTCGTTTACCTGATCGTTGTTACCTCAACACCGGAGCGGCTGTCTGAGGTGCGAATCGACGTGCGAAAATTCGACAAGTCCACCGGCGATTCTGAGAGCGGAAAAGTCCGCGGAAATGGGTTCAAATTAGCAGCCGATCAGCTAAACGCGAGAGAACCAACTCGGGATTTCTTCGCGGTTAATAAAATAGACTTAAATACCCGGCTTGGAATGGCCGGCCGTCGTTTCCTGGCGGCAACTTTTTTTCCGCTGTAAAGCCCTATTTGCATTATTAAACGAGCGGGAAGCCAACCATCAACGAGGAGTCGTTAAGAAATTTAAAACTCCCGGATAACTCTAAGTTAGAGAGGAGTAGAGTAATCAAGGCGCGGGTGAAGGGGCAATGAAAAGGAATTTAATTAAGCTATCCCACCTCGGGGTCAGTATGTCTTGTTCCGCGACTCCCTGCAGCGATCGGTGCTTTCCGCACCGCCGCCGGCTGGAAGGAAATTCTCGATAAACAGAAAATCGCCGTGTCAACGACGGGAATACACGCGTTAGATCGATTCGCACAGGTCCCTCGACGATTTCGAGGAGTTCCCCAGAAAAACGTCGTAAAAACATCAAACTTATATACGTGGGAAGAAAACCACCGCAGTGTTACGAACATATAATGCCAATGAAATCAATTTAATATTTCGACGTGCACTGCTCCACGGTTGCTTACGGAATTAATTATTACGCGATGACCTCGTCCTACGATCAGATTCGAGGTAATAAGGAAACGATAGCTCGTCAAACTTACATTATCGTAATTTAATTCGATCGTGTTGTTCTTCGCCAATTATATTCGCGTTATACCCTCGACGTTCGTAAATTTCTTCCGGAGTGGTTCTCCGGCGCGTTGCTTCGATGTATCAGATTTTGCGCGACGACACCGACGACGGAGAGGGATTTAAAATCATGCGCGTTCGCATGTGTGTGTGTGTGTGTGTGTGTGTATTATTTTTATAGAGGGAAAGAACTCGTTGTGCGCGCGCGAAACTAGGTGCTCCTTAAACGATCGATAACCGTACCATCCGCGCGTCGTCTTTTTACAAAATACGCATATCGCGCAGCTTGTTTAAATAAACACGCTACGGTTGCGGCGGCGGGATAGTCGGTTGTCCAAGCGAATGAACGTTCTCCCTACAATGCGGATGTATTATAAGAGACATCTCGCTACGGAGGGGTAAGTTGCAAAAATAAGTATCGCGTCAATTGGCGTCCGAGTGAAAAGTTGGTATTTGTCCCGCGCGCGTGTAACGTAACGTAAATGGAACGGAATCGAATGGGGTGTGGGACAGGCGGAGGTAGGACGTCAAAGGCCAGGGATAGACCTCGTTCATAATTAGCTCGTCTCGCTACGTCTATTCGAGTCTACTTCAACGAGCGAACGGCACTCTAGAAGTTTAATCGTACGTCGCGATAAACCCGAGCACGAGGCACGAGAGATTCATTTCTCACGAGAGCTTTCGAGTGTGCGCGAGTACGCGCTTTCTCCGAGGCCTTTCGACTGAGAGGCGGCTGTGATCAAAACACACGGCTTTTTCTTATATCGGGACAATCGCGAGTAATTAATTGACTTGATTAAGCCGATCGGTTCATTGGTTTCTACGCAGGAAAAATTAGATAAACCTGTAATATTTCTTAGAAGCGAGACTTAGAAGCGACCAGTAATTCCAAAACCAATGCAAAACAATAAGAGTACGGACAAGAGAAAACTTGCCACTTTCGAACAAATGTAAATACCACATGCGATGTTTTTACACATAAACTATTTCGTACACTGAAAAAGAAGTGATTGAGTTAACGAAACTTTGCGAACAAAACGTTCGCAACTTATTGTTATACTCACACGTAATTTGTTCAATGAATACAATATTTCTTTGAAGGCGAGTAATCGACGATTTTGTTGATGCAACTGCTTTTTTTTCTAAAGGTACACCCGATTGACTCAAGCAATTTATATTTTAGAGAAGAATATGCTCCTATATTTATTACGTGAGATATAAACTCGGCAGCAAACTGATCCCTGTGGACCCGATCTTCCCTACCTGAAAAGTGGCGCGATACTTTAGACGTGTGCACTTTGGTTTGCCGGAAAGCATATCTCGCATTTCGGTTCGTGCGAATCACGCCGGATGACTCCGTAATTTAGCTCGCCATCGATCATCTCGCACGATAGCTGGAAGCCTGCGCAAAAATCCCCGGCGTGATGCACCGGCTGTCTGCACATTCTGAAAAGCGCATAATGCACGTCAAAAAGTGACATTTTCGCCGCGCGGTAATTTGCTTGATTGCGCGAAACGTTGGGGATGCACTTGAGCACATGCCGCCGTGCGGTTACGACGTTCGCGGTTCGTTTTTACGCCGGCCATTTATTATCAACGTATCGTCCGTACATGTGCAGCGAAACTTCGTGGGCGGTGATCGATCATCGATGTCACGAAATTTCGGGAATAATGAAGCTTGATCGATCTGCCAATAATGCCTATACGAGTAATTTAATGTAACGAAGTTTCGACGCCATAAATTTTGACTCCGCCGGGATATATCGTGATACCTGCGTTTAACAATCGAAATTACTATTGTTGATATTTATTCATAACAACTAGCATACACATGTCTCTCATCGTTTCATCGAATAGTCTCAAGCTTGGCTATATAAACTATATATATGTTGAAACGTATCAGTAGACCGACATTAATTATGAAGTTACTTCATACTCGCACGCAATAATATTATGAATAGATGTTAACGAGCAAAATTGGATTAATCGCGTCGTGTGTAAATTATAAAAGAGTAGGCAGTTGTAAGGGAGAGCAGCATTAGGGACATCCAAATTGTCTCTAAATTATTACAGTGGAGGGATAAGCCGGCGGGTTTACTTGGGGGATATCCAGTGTTCTGGTATTAGGTTCTGTGCCCGCGTGTCCTGCAATAATGTTTAGTCTCCTGAATAAAGAAAGATAGAGGTCCCACACGTATCCGTGCGACGTTTCATTTCGCGAAAATTGTCCGGCGTGAAAAAATTAAACTGGCCGCGGCTGGCTGTGTATAACGTAACTGTTAGTAGCGAAGCGAGTATCTTCCTATGAAATATCAAGTAAGGCGTGACAACGAGCTCAAAATGAAAGAGTCCGCAAACAGTTCACTTGAGATAAACAAGATGTGTGAGCATTTTTTGCCGTCTGAAATGATTGTCTCGGCCCGCAATTGATCTAATAAGTAAACCTATTCAAAGGGTACACTCCGATTTCTTTCTAATTTGACACAAATATAAAAGTACAAAAAATATTTAGGTCATATTTTTTCATTTTAGCTCACTTTGAGTTTCACGGGTAGTTTATAGCTTTTTAATGTTCTCACTCCTATCATCAACAAAAATGCATAAGAAATAAAATGGAATACAAGGCCTGTTTTTGGCTTGCTGATTATGAATATGAAGTCAAATGTATAAAATTATTTGTATAAATAATACAATGTTTAAACAAAACATGTTTAAAAAGTTGAAAAAATTATTTATACAAATAATTTCTTGGTTTGGCCGAAATTTAAACTATTTTTTACTAATTTACCACAGATTTGACATATTTCGGTTGGAATCTCGGCTAAAGAAATTTTGAATGGTTCATGTCTCAGCTACACCGATTTTGTTAAAATTATTTAACTATATCTTGTATTCTATTTTATTTCTTATGCATTTTTATTGTATTTGTTGATAATAGGAGTGAGAACATTAAAGAGTAAGTTATAAACTGCCCGTGAAACTTAAAGTGGGTTAAAATGAAAAAATATGACCTAAATACTTCTACATTTGTACCAAATTAAGCAGAAATCGGAGTGTACCTTTTGGGTAGGTTTACTTGTAAGTAATGTGGTAGAATATATGTATAGATAACTCGTCGTTTAATTCTTAATTAATTGCGTGTGTGCGCGTTAATGAACGAAAGCAGGAGAGCGAGTTCTCTCCGTTTCCTCGAGTCAAACGCGAGAAACTTGTGCTTTACACGGTGGACACAATTCAGACTTCGGTCATTCAATCTTCGACTTTCGACTGTGTCGAGTGTCCACCGATTGTATCAGCTCACCATGTCCCCCCTTCGTGTCCCCTTATGGAAAGATTAACGCGAATGATTGTTCGTTACAGCGCCGACGAGGGCTTCGACGGCACTTACCCGACGAACGTCGTCGTAAAGAACAATGGGACCTGCTTGTACGTGCCACCCGGTATATTTAAGAGCACTTGCAAGATAGACATTACCTGGTTCCCCTTTGACGATCAGCGCTGCGAGATGAAATTCGGCTCCTGGACATACGACGGCTTTCAGGTGAGCAGAGACGGGCATTACGGAATTGGGTCAGGCAATTGTCGTTTCCCGTCCGTTCGCAGGATGTTCGTTCCTTCGCCCCGACGCAGACGGCGAACTTACGAATTTTCCAATCTGTCGGGAGCACGTCGGTACTCGTCGACATCTCGGGACGCGGAAATAATTCAAAGTGGCATCGCGCAGAGGAGTTTGATTAGCGCTCGAGACGAGAAAAAACGAGAAAGGGAGAGAGAGTGTGTATGTGTGTGTGTGAGAGAGAGAAAAAGAGAGAGAGACATGAAGGAAAAGTTGGAAGGAAGGAGGAAGGGAAAAGAATCTTTGCTATTTGCTACTGCTCGAGAGTTGCTCGCGAAATTTCGCAGTCCGACGTAAAAGTCCCCTGATCGCATAACGACGGCGCATTTTCCATCTTACCCGACGAAAGTTGCGAGCGGGCGTTTTCGAGATTATGCTCGGTCCGATCAAAATGGCGGTTAATCCGTGCAAAGGAATTCCAGTAAATATGCAAAAAGCCTCATAATAAATGATAACTTCTGTCTCGGAATTTAATTAGATGTCATAGTTTTCGCGCTTTTTAACGCAAAATACCTCGATACCAATGTTGCGAGTCGAGATTCCGAGCATTATGCTCACTTTTAAAATATTTAAAATATATTAAAAGGAATTATTTAAAGTCATTTTATGATATATTTGTTATTCCTCTCACAGCGCTATCTTTAGTAAATTGCTTAAGCGTGAGAACTTTTCTAGGAAGTCAATGCAGTATCTATTTTTTTTTCTATCTCTTTTTCTAATTTCATGTCTGTCTAGTAAAAAAAATCGCGGCAGTATCAACACATGTACGTACGCGATGTTAAGGCGTTCTTTGCGAAATGTTCGGGATGCGTGACTACATTCGATTCCGAAGCGCGGTTTACGAATACTACAACGAGCGTAAAGTGTGCTCGGCATTTTGTCGAAGCACTGACGGCGCGGTCAGCAAACAGCATTTTAGGGTGAATTGCAGGAAATTTACGAATCGTGGAAAATGCGTTTAGAGGATAGTAAGCGTGAGAATACGCGATATCAAGAATGCTCACTGACACGCGATTCCTACCATCGTCATTTTGTTCTTGTAACGCAAGCAGTACACCGAGGGCAAATTATTTATACTTGTACCTATTCTTGTACCTCAAGTAAGCATCTGAAACGAACATTACAAAAGCGAAGAGCTATTGCAATCTATGTTCTAAAGAAATTTCGTTGGAGACGGCATGACGTAAATTTCTACAAATCGAATCAGTGAGGGAAAATGAATAGACTTCATTGTAAAAGAACAATGTCGAGTAATGTAAAATATTACGGAAATTGCGAAATTATCTCGCGTGAAAAAAACAAAAGTATGAATTGAAACATTTTAACGTCTGCTTTGCGATATTGAGATACTGATTAGGATTTACAGAATTCTTAATCCTGAGCTTTAGGTTTGACATTTTCTGCGAAATACAATGTTGTTCGATTGCGGTAACGTTAATAGCAGTATTACGGCGATAAAATCGCGTGATAATCGTGCGTTACTCGCGCGTTACCGATTTATCGTGCAAACGTGCGATTCCGCCGCACGACCGATGTACCTGGCGAGTCCTCAATTGTCGGGGTATGCAACTTCCGAATAATTAAAATTGAGGATGCGAATTACACGGTGCTGGGCAATTCGAGAACGCTCGGGGGTTCATTAAGGAGGACAATAAGCAGAACGAAGTGGGAGCGCGAGAGGCGAAAGGGAGAGAGTCGGGGAATGCGCCACGGTTTTCTCTAGCTCGATTCGATCCGCTGAATACGAACGAGATGCAAAACAGACTTTTCGGTTTTGATCGTCCGTTTTCATTTAACAATTCGCGCCTAGAAATTAATTCGCCGTAGATTGTGCCTGAACGTTGATGTAAAAAAAAGAAAGAAGAAGAGAGAGAGAAAGGGGGGGTGGAGAGCGAGTGAGAGAGTAGGTGAAAAAAAAAGAAATTTTCCATCGATATTCAAACGCATAGGAATTGCGGAAGGAATAGCTGGAGCGGGTTAGCGCCGGCTTTATTGGTTTATGCAAATATGTATGAATTCTCGTGAGTTGTACCAACAGAACGTGTATGAAGCAGCTAAACCGACGGAAAGTTTGATGAAGAGCTATTTAGATATTTTAGTAGTAATTCATCGCTCTGCCTCATTCCTCAATTAATTTCTGTCCCTTTCGTTTTCTCCGCTTTTCGACTTTGTTAGAAAATATTTTGCAATATTTGATGATGCAAAGTTCCAGATGATACTATAACTTGATAGCGTCCTATTTATTTTTATATTGCATTAATCAAGAATATCATACGGATCGTTCCGTTTAGACGATTACAGTAGTATTCATATAGACGAAATTTTAGTTAATTTGGTTGATTAGTTTATTTGATTGAGCTTGTAAAGTGGAAAATTTAATTTCTACGAGTGAGAGAGATCCTTCCCATTATATTCCTCACAATATTTTCAGAGAGTGTTCGCATAGTTTCGTATAAAAATTAATTTCCGAAGGATCACGCGTGTTCGATTCTCGCTCCTTTAATAATCGCTCCCGTAATATTTCTTTTATAAAGGGCAAAAGACGACAAGGAAACACCGTATTTCTGCGACTCCGCGACAGATTTTCGCGTAGTTTCTCCTTCCCTCCCTTCCTCCCTTTCTTTCGAAACAACCGTCTTACACGCGGTACGATAATTTTCCTCTAATCGACTGTCATAAATTGTCGACAGTTGGATCTGCAGCTGCAGGACGAGACCGGGGGTGACATCAGCAGTTTCATCACTAACGGCGAGTGGGATCTGTTGGGTGAGTTTTTACAGTCCTTATCGGTAACCGTTCTCTCGTCTCACCACGCCCGGATAGTTCGCCCCGCCGCGCCGAAAGTGATTCCCCGGCCGATTAGCAATTCTAAAGTCTTGCACGGCCACACGGACGGATGATCAATCGTTTCGTAAATCGGAAACGGTATCGATCCTCGCTTTGTCCCCGTCAAAATTGCCTGCATCTGGGTCAAGCGGGACTCGCGGCGGTGCCTAGCCCCCGAAGTTTACTGTTTTCGCTGGCGAACACGTCGGCGATCGGTAAAGTGTCGCGAACGAAATTGCAGGCGGGGGCATCCCTCGCCTGATTCAAAGGGCGAGTGAAGTCCGACGCGGTCGCTGAATAATCGTCCGGGAATTTATTGAACGATCGCGGATTCAAACAATACGGTCTTTCACTTGCAAATGTTCACACCGCGCGAGGCACGTCTATCGCGCGTGCTTTTGCTTTTCATCTCTCTCTTTTCTTTTCTGGCACCGATTTTTCTACGGTGAAAATTTGTTTTTTACCCCCTCTCTTCCCACGCCTGCAGATATATGAAATTTTTTATCTACGTGGTGAATCTTCGCGCGTGCGCGCGCGAAATTACCGTGAGTCTGGATCCGGTTCGTAAAAATTCGCGCTCGCGAGACGAGCGAACGAGAGATACGCGGAATTTCCAAATTCCAGTTTCGCGCGCGAGTTACGTAACGGGAACTCTCTTGGCGTTAAGTTTTATTTCGACATTCGCGGGATCCATTAGTTTTCGCGCATCGGAATACACTTACGCTTGAATCAACGACACATAAAGAATCGTATACGACCTACATTTTATGTCGGAGGATAAATTTTGTACTTGAAATCTCCTTTCAAGAAACGCGCGAACTTCTTTGCTGAATTGACGAAGATATACTTTCATTAATAAAACAAATTGCTAATTAACCATATGGTAACTCATGCGCATATACGCACACACACATACACACACACACGCGCGCAAATATAAACTGATACCGTCGGCAAGGAGACGTCGCGATTGCTGTAATTTATTCTATCACGCATAATGCAACATTTCAATAATAAGCCCGTATGCGCCCGCGGCATTTATATTGAAATTGTGATACAGAAACGGCAATTATCCGATAATTATTCGGTTCGCGTCTTTATCTTTCGGGAAAAAATGGTCGTAACCACGATATTATCGTTATCGAATGTATCCTCATTTGGTTATGTGTAATTTGTTGGCCGGCGCATTGCATTCACCACACGAATAAACGCAAAGAAACGCACTCGGACGTCTATTTATCGCTCTCGCGTATGCAGGAACAAAAACACCCGCTGCTCCCGTATCCTCCGTGTATCATCCCTCGAAAAATTGTACGATGCATTACGCGCGGGTATAGCGTCGGCGTGTGCACGTGTAATATATGTGTCGGGGTTATGAGACTTGCGGTAGAAATGTATCTTAAGTAACTGTAGCTGCGGAGCGCGTTTTGTACCCGGAGGAACAGATGGAATCGCCCGTTTTCCCCCGGCCCTGTTGCACGGGATAATTCAAGAAGGAAAGTGGAGAAATTTTTCGCTTCCGACAACCCTTTTGTTACGCTCGAGTGCGCACTTCGCTTTATTGACGATGTATCAATTGCCCGTGTGTGGGTGTGTGTGTGTGCGGTACATGCGCGCGACGTCATGTTTAAGCGCCAAATCGAATACGAGAAGTTTGATTCGAGTGAAAATTTTAAGTGCGCGCCATTGTGCCGGCGACCGCACTCGGAACAACGTAAAAAGCGCTCATCGATAGTTTCAATCGGATATCGATGCGTCGAATCAATTAGAAATTCGGGAGAAAGCGCGAAGTTTACTCGAATATAAATTACAGAAGCCCTCGCGATCTTTTGGATGTTCGTAAATCTTCGTGTTTGCCTTGGAAGGAAACGAAGAGAAAGTAAAAAGCCACGAGAAAAGCCAAAACCTATTATCGGTTTTCATATCTCCCTTTTTGTGGTAACAAACTCGCGAATGTTATCGTAACAAGCACCGAAATCGTTTGTGTTGTACGATTGAGCAATATTTTTACGTAGTAACAACAGGATCGACATAACTATAATCTTCGTTTCGTGTCTCACAGGGGTACCTGGCAAGAGAAACGAAATCTACTACAATTGCTGCCCAGAACCGTATATAGACATCACCTTCGTCGTCATCATCAGAAGGCGCACACTCTACTACTTCTTCAACCTGATCGTGCCGTGCGTCCTGATTGCCAGCATGGCCGTCCTCGGGTTCACCCTGCCGCCCGATTCCGGCGAGAAACTCTCCCTCGGCAAGTTTCAACTCGATGCAAAACTCCGATTGCCCTCAACGACCCGTGAACGTTCTCGCGATTAGGCACACTCCTGTTTGCTAAGAGCATCAGACGTTTGCGCGATTAGGTCCGACCTACTTCCGGCCGGCGAACTCTCTCCCGCATCCGACACCGAAGAAACTAATCTCTCGCGCCGTTGTCGCGAGTTTCTTCCTCCGGCTCAGGGCTTAGCTGCGCAGGGGACTTGGTCGAGTGGTGTCCCGACGCGGAAATTAGCGCCGATAAAATTCCGTCACGCTGGGACTTGGTTAGTTGATCCCACGGGGATGTGCGATTCCACGTCGTCGTGTCGGTCCTGCGAAGAACGATCGAGCGTCGACAGTATAGATTGCGTGCTGAATGCGATTTGTGAGCCGCTCGTGTAACGGGAATTTCATTGCATCCGCGACTCCGCGCTCTGCATATCGCGTTCGATCCTCATCGATCCTCTCAGGACAAGCTCCGATGTGGAGTTTTCTTTTGTACACTCTCAATTAGACGAAAGCACCATCGATCAAACTCTTATCTGCTTTCTCGTTGGAAATTTTTCTATTCTAAATGGCAACGAGTGATCGATCGGTTGACAATTAACTTGGTACCGACAGTTTTTTTGCTAGACAAACATAGAAGACGATCCCAGATTCCTTCTTTGCGCGCGTAGTCGTAAAGCTGTCGTAGCGCAGTTTCAGACGTACACGTTTGCGGAAGGTAGCACGGTGCTATCTATTACACGTTATTTCATTGTTTCCCCGGGGAACGTAGTCGTCGTGGAATCTGACGAGGAGCCCGATGCCGGGGAGAGATTCTGCCTCCTACGGCCCGAATCGCTCGGCTGCATAATTCCGATTCCTTGTCCGCCTCTCGCCTCGCAGCGCCGTGTAAACGTTCCCGTGATTAGAGCTAGGAGTTCGCTAAGCGCATCGGGCGTTTACGCGATTAGATTTCGTCCGATCCCGATTGAAACGACGCGTCTCGACACGGTAACTTCAGCCCGGGGTCGTCGAGTTTCTTCGAGTGTGCAGGCTGCTGCTGCTGCTGCTGCTCCTCCTGCTGAATCCACACCGGATTCGAAAGCGATCGCGTTGGCGGAGCGGAGATACGGCGACAATGGAACGGCAGTTTCGAGCGAGCGTCTCTGTCGCAAATTTCCGCGAGGCTCTTAGCTATTCATAGATTGAGACACGATAATCGCGCGTGCCTTCGCGATCGCCTTAACGTTGTGGGCGATTTTAGCAGGACAATTTACACAAAATTTAAAATATATCTTTCTCAAACATGAAAATAATTGGGCTAATCATAATGTTTATACTTCATTAAAAATTCTTCTATGAGCTTATTTGAATAATTAGTTTTTGTTCTTTATTTCATTTTTTAAATTGATTATTAGTTTACAGAGAAAAACGATTGATTGTATGAAACGTTGTCTTTATGCGGACTGTTTATTTAAACTTTTATTATTGGGCTCATTAATCATAATAGATTAGACTGCAAAAGTTGGTCTCATTAATCATAGTAAATTGGACTGCAAGTAGCCTCAACAATATCGGTATAAGTTTATCGATTGTATCGGCGGAAGAATTGGAAACGTCCTATTTGGCGAGGAAGCAGGAAAGACACGACGCGATACCACGACTCAATTGTGATCGGGATCTCGAGAGCACCTCTCGACACGTTGTCGCGCAAATCTCGAAGAAGCTCGAGTAAGGTCTGATATTTAGATGAAGCACCTGGCGTGGCTGCCAGCCACGCGGTGTTTTGAAAGTCTAAATAATTCGAAAGCACCTCTTAACGCGATGCTGCGGCTCGCGAATAAGCGCCAAAGCCTCGGGCGGTGACGGGTTGAAATACACGAGACCCCTGACACGAACTGTCTCTGAGGCTACCCATCTCTAAGATGCTAATCAAAATTCACGGAAATGATAATTTTCCTTCTCAAGAAGATATCCTTATCCCTCCACTCGTCGCGAGTTTTAGTGGAAACAGTCTTGCACTTTTGACACAACTTTTCGCTCTCAGTAGAAACGGTTAGAATCCAGATAATCTTTTTGAGCCATACATTTTATGTAAAGTGCTTCTTTCCGTCAGGAGGTTTAGACGGAAAAGCAAAGGACAGGCTCGGTGACAGTTCGCCATTGTGTGGCCGAGAGCTGACGAGGTTGGAGGCATCATATATCGTTCGATGCAGAAGCGTGAAAATCGAAGGGTCTTTAGCACGCGATTGTCACGCATCGAAGGCCCTTCGATCGCCCAAGGGCCGTAGGCTGATCCCACAATGACGTGCTCGACTCAAACGATAATTAATCGAAGCCAACGAACCTCTTTTTCAGGGGTAACCATCCTTCTATCCCTCACTGTGTTCCTGAATATGGTTGCCGAGACAATGCCAGCGACGTCCGACGCCGTACCGCTTTTAGGTGAGCTCGATCAAATTGATTTTCAATATGATTAATTTTTCAATGTGAGAAAGCGATCCGACCGGTCAACCATATTGCAAGCCGTTCGAGCGGAAAAAAAGGGACGGTCGGAAGGGATAAAGGGCTGTTTACGCTCTTCTAGGACAATGTTCCGTGATCATGTGAAACACCCGCGTCAGGACGCACTCGCAAAAACTTGGAAACAACTAGTACATCTATTTTTGAGGAAAAAGTGTAATTATATTACGAAGAGAAGCATTAATTTAACATCTCATGTTGAGAGAGGAAACGAAATATGTCGAATACGATATAATCGATATTGGGATACATTAAGATTAATTATTCAACTTTCGCCAAAACCGAAATTAAATTAACGAATCAACTTTTTCGCTTAAAACGTGAAGATTTTGAAGTCACGCTGTTACTCTTTTTTTTCCAGGAACGTACTTCAATTGCATAATGTTTATGGTGGCCAGCAGCGTGGTCAGCACAATTCTCATCTTGAACTATCATCATCGGAATTCTGACACACATGAAATGTCTGAATGGGTAATTTCCTTTGATCGATATCAAAGCGCGTTGTAACACCACGATGGTCACGACTTAATCGTCCATCGTTAGTTAATATCGCAATACGAAAGCGGGGCGAAAACGAAACGTCACAGACGTAATTGTCAACGAATCAATTTGTAATCTTGCTCAAAGGATCACGTGTATTTTTTTTCCCGCGAAATTTGGACCGGCTTGCGCACGAGCGAACGGTTTGCACAATTAACGGTAATTGAACGATGAGGTAATGGAATGAGAGAAACAAGTGACTATTCCATCGCTATAAAATTAATCGATTAACCGGTTAATATTCATTAATGTTCGACAATGTTACACAGGAATGCGTCTCAATTGTGAATTATGCCGAATTTTATTGAAAATCGCTCATTCCGCTAAATTGGTCTATCCGTCACCGAGCCAGCCGAGTCATTCACTAATGTTTTTTCATTTGCGCGCGAATTATTTTACCAAAAACCCACTTTCGATTTATCGTTAACGCTACACGACTCTTATATGCATCAGCCGATAATTATAGTTTTAATTAAAATGCAACGCGCTACCGCCATGGCCGATGCGTCGCTCTCTCTCTCTCTCTCTCTCTCTCTCTCTCTCTCTCTCTCTCTCT